GGGGGGAGGAGTGGGCAGGACCAGTGTAAACCCAAGAGTCACCAAGGATGTTGAAATAAGCTCTCCCCCCAAGCTCCCTCTTCATAGGCCCCTAAAAAGGTTCATTTCCACAGAGGGACCTGCCTCGTTGGAAGACATACGTGTGAAGACCCTGAAGCATGCCAAACCATTGTTCTCGGTATTCGAACGCCACTGAACAACTTGACTGTTGCGTCTTGAAGATCCTGACGAGCGGGGTGCTTGTGGCGCACTGGCGAACAGGGGGACGAGGCGGGCGCTCCGACCGCCGGAGAGGGACCCTCCAGGTGGAGAAGGCGAGGGCGGGGAGGAAAAGGAGGGATGACGATGAGGAGGAGGAGGCTAACGACGACTGGGCGAGGAGAAACAGAGTGAGAAGGTGCAGAGAGATGAACAGGAGAATTATGGTAATGGTGGTGGCGATGGCGATGGCGATGATGATGGTGATGGTGATGGTGATGGTGATGGTGATGGTGATGGTGATGGTTATGATGATGGTGATGCTGCTGCTGATGATGATGATGATGAGCAGTGATTATGAAGATGACGATGATGATGCTGATTCAGTGTGATGATGATTCTGATGGGGATGATGACGATGCTGATGCTGCTGCTGATGAGGATGATACTGACGGTGACGATGACGATGATGGTGATGATTGTGTTTATGATGATGATGATGATGATGATGATGATGATGACGATGCTGATGCTGATCATGTTTATGACGATGACAATGCCGATGCTGATGATGATGAGGATAAGGATGAGGATGAGGATGAGGATGAGCATGATGCTGATGCTGATGATGATGGGGATGGTGACGAGGATAATGATAAGGATGAGGCTGAGGACGATGATGATCATGACGATGGTGAAGGTCTTGTTGGTGATGATGATAATGATGGTGCTGGTGATGATGATAATGCTGCTGATGCTGATGAATGTGATTGTGGTGGTGGTGATGAAGCTGATGATGATGAAGGTGGTGATGATGATGATGATGATGATGATGATGATGATGATGGTGACGATGATGTTCAGGATTTTGCTGATGATGAGGTTGATAGTGCTGGTGATGATGATGATGGTCGTGATGATGATGATGATGCTGGTGATGATGATGATGGTGGTTGTGGTGGTAGCGGTGAGGGTGATGCTCATGATGATCGTGCTGGTAATCATGATACTGATTATGATGATGCTGCTTGTGGTGATGATGGTTTCGATGGTGATGGTGACGGTGATAATTGTGATGGTGATGGTGATGAGTGTGATGGTGATGGTGGTGATGGTGATGGTGTTTGTGATGGTCTATTTTGGTGATGAGGGTGATCCTCGTGATCGTGATGATTTTGATAGTCATGGAACTGGTGGTAGTGATGGTAATGGTGATAATGGTACTGGTTAAGGTGATGGTGGTGGTGACCATGCCGATGATGATGATGATGATGATGATGATGATGATGATGATGATGATGATGATGATGATGATAATGATGATGATGATGATGATGGCAAGATGATGATGGTGCTGATGATGATGATGATGATGCTGATGATGATGATGATGATGATGATGATGATGATGATGATGATGATGATGATGATGATGATGCCGTCGATGGTGACGATGGTGATGCTCATGATGATAATGAGGATGAGGATGAGGATGAGGAGAAGGAGGAGGAGGAGGAGGAAGAGGGAGAGGGAGAGGAAGAGGGAGGAGTAGGAGTTGGAGGAGGAGGAGGGGACTAGGAGGAGAGCGTAACAGGCAGGAACAGGAGGATAATGACGTGGACGAGGATGGCCGCGTCTGAACGACACCAGGGCGGGCCGAGAGAGAGAGAGAGAGACGTGGAGGACGAGGATGGCTGAAGGGTGGAGGTGGAGGATGTGGATGGGAAGGCGGCATGGAGGAGAAGGAGGAGGAGGAGGAATGATGAGGAGGAGGAGGGAGGAGAAGGGAGGAGGAGGCGGAGGAGGCGGAGGAGGAGGAGGAGGAGGAGGAGGAGGAACAGGAGGAGGAAGAGGAGGAGGAGGAGCAGGACGAAGACCAGGAGGACGACGTCGACGACGACGACGACGACGACGACGACGACGACGACGACGACGACGACGTCGACGACGACGACGACGACGACGACGACGACGACGACGACGGCGGAGCGGGGACGCGCACGGCGCCCTCCCGCCGGCGAGGCGTGGCAGCCCGCGCCCTTCGGCCGCGCAGCCCGGGAGCCCGCGCGCCGCCCTGGAGGGCCGCGCCGGCGCGCCGCGCGGCCGGCATGGCGGCCGCCGGCGCGCTGGAGAGCCGCCCCTCCTTCGGAGGTTGACAGACCTCCTATACGGTAGGTTTGCGTCGTGTCGACCAGCGGCGACCCCGCCAGCGGCGTTCAACCTTGAACGCCGCGGGCGACCCAGAATCGATCGATGTTGAACGATCGGACGTTGCGGCAGCGGCCGATCGTTCAAGGTTGAACGATCCCTGCGGTGTCACAAAGCAACGCTGGGGTCGGCACGACACGAACCTGCCGTAACCCTTCAAGCAGTGGCGAAGCGTCCCGGCTCGCCCATAGCCCTACCTGGGTGGTCGAAGGCCAGACTGTCCGATTGGATCGGGCCCCAAGGGCCAGTCTGGCCCGGCCAAACTGGACGATCTGGGTGATTCGCCAGACTGGATTCGCGTTGGCTCCCTCGCCAGATTGCCCCCGCTTGCCAGATTAGGCCTGCCAGAGTGGCGCCAGATTGGCTTCGACTACCCAGCCTACCAAACAATTTTCTAAGAACCGTTTGTGGTCTGCACGAAATATTATTTGAACAGTTCTGATTGAGATTGTCTTGTTTTTAACACATCGGGCCCATGTTCTAGGAACATTGTTGAGTTTCTCGGAACATGGCTGGGTTCTAAGAACATTTCGTGGTAGGACTATAGGAATGCCGGGACGGTCGGTCCCTGCTCAATACCCTGACACGTCGATTAGCGAATTGGCCGTTCTCGGTTCGCGAGAGGGCACCGCGGCCGTTATTTTTGCGGGTCCAGGTCCGTCGGTTTCGGTCCCAGGCCGTTTTCATTAAGGGAAGGTCTACTAAAGGGGGTTTTGTCCACCGCCGATTCACCAAGCGCGTTCCACTGTTCACGAAGCGCCTATTCTCGAAGAAGAGAAACCATACATATGAACTTTTGGCGCTCCGCGTGGAGTTCTGGGATCCGCGCTGGGCCCCCCGCCGGCGGCGCCTTCAGCGCCGCCCCTCGCGCGCTCCGTGCGCCAGGGAGGGGGGTCCAGCGCAGATCCAAGAACTCCGCGCGAAGCGCCAAATGCTTATGTTTATGACTGTTCTTATTCTTCTATACTTGCAAACATCCGAAAAGCACATGTTCGCCTCGACGTCATAGATCGTAGATCTCCCGCGTTGTATCTGGGCCATCTGCGAGTGGTCTTTTTGCGAGTAGTGGGACGCGCTCGTCCCTGAGAAGGAGAAGGCCTTCTCAAAAGGCGGCGGGGCTTCTCCGAAGGCCTCTGGCCTTTTGAGGAGTTTTCTGCGTCTTCCGGGAAAGGGTTAGAAAGCTTCTCACCAGGCCGGGTGGCTTCCGAGCCTTCTGAGAAGGCCCGCCCCTTCTCAGTTCCCCCCCTCGCTCGCCGCCGAGCGTCGCTGGCCATGAGGGAAAGGGGTCAGGAGGGGAATGGGCCCTGAAGTGTTTCAACGTTTTCGGGCTCGGCGGGGCCGTCCACGGGCTCCGGGGCACTCCAGGTGAAGAACTTGTCCTGAGGGAAGGCCACAGGTTGGTAGTCCCCAAACGTGGTGGTGACAACACCTGGCGGTGAGTCTCGGGCGATTTGGTGGCACCACCCGGTTTTGGGGCTCGTGCGGTTTTCCGAGGATGTCCCGGACGTTGGTGGGTCCAGGAGTCACAAAACCCGGCGGTGACCCCGCGTCCCCAAACCCAGCGGTGACCTTTGTGGGGATTCCAGGTCGCCACCCGGTATCTCACCACCCGGTTTGGGGGTTCCCAAGGGAAGGCCTCAGGGTCCAGGGCCCGTTTCCCTGGCCAAGGGAAGAGAACTATGCACATGCACCGATCCTGGCAAGGCCCATCCTTGACCCAGGATCGGTGCATATGCCTTCCTGGCCAAGGCAGGAGGGCGTATGCACCGATCCTGGGCTCAGGATGGGCCTGGCCAGAATCGGTGTATGTGCATAGTGCTCTTTCCTCTAAGGGTCCAGGGCGAGTTTCCCTCATGACCCGCTTCCCCAATGCTGATTTGCCTCCCTCCTTCCCGTTCCTGTCCGTGTGCTTGCCTGTTTGCCTGCTCGTTCCCAAGTGCTAGGCCAGACTCCTGCTGGTGCTTTTTCTCCTCCTTCCCTCCCTCCCTCCCTCCTCTTCTTTCTCCTCCTACTCCTTTCAGGAGGGAAAGAAACGCACAGACACAATTAATCGTCGACTCCCAGGAAAATATGCAAAAATATGGGAAGTGGTGGGGAAGACAAAAACCCAGAACATATTGGAAAGTATGGGGGATCTATTTTTTGTGTGTGTTTAGTTGTGTGTTCCAGTTCCCCTTCATCCTTCTTCTCCTCCTCCGCCGTTAGGCCAGGGTATTTAAACATTCCCTGCCACCGCGGCCAAGCGGTGCAGCCTGGGCGCCGTATGGCACCTCCTGAATGAGGAGCACTGCCGATGATCCAATTTTGGCTGAGTCATGTCCCCTCCCCCCCTTCCTCTCCTAGGGGCGGTCGCTGTTATGGCGTGAGCCAGGAGGTCCCTCCACCCCTCCCCTTCGGACCCTCAGGAAGGGAAGGCGGCACGGCCCCTGGGTTGAAAAGGCCAGGGGTGGACGTTGTGCGCACCCTTGGACGGAGAATGGCCCTGCCCTCCCTCCCCTTCCAACCCCTCCCAGGTCCTCGTAGCCAGGTTTGAGCCGTGGTGGTTGGGTCCTTCGCCGAAGAGTCGGGATCGTATCCTGACGCGGCTGATGCCAAGGTGCCGCGCTGATGCGTTGTCGGGCACCCCCCTGGCTCATGCCCGTTGCCTTCCTGGGCTTGGGGCTCGCGCTGGGGGAACAGTGATGTGAGACGTGCCTACGGGGGTTGGGCGCTGGGCAACCGGTCCGTTGTGTCTCGGGGGGTTGGGTTGTTCGCCCCTTTTTGAGGTATCCCCTTTTGGAGGTTAGCATGTACATGGGGGCCGATGGACGGTCCCTTGCTGTAGCCCGCATCCCTCACGCATGTATGCCGTTGCGCTGATGCGGCAACGCGGTGCCTTTGTGGCAGATGCCGCCCCGGTCCAGCCATGTCTGTGGGCTGTCTCTTAATCCGTTCCTTCTCCTTATAGATAACTCCTCCCTGTCGCACCCCGAGGACCCGAGGCCAGTTTTTACGGCGGGCCGGGCGTTTCCCCGGAGACCTCCTCACTATTTATGATTCTGAAGCTTACACGGTGTCAACAGTTTCACAGATGGAGGGCGAGTGGTTTTCCAAAATGTGGTTCTTGCCTTAGCGCCGCGCGCATTCGTTTTTAACTTTGCAAGAGCTTCACGGATTGAGGGCGGGCCGTTTTCAAAATGTGTTTTCGCCTTGGCGCCGCGCTCATCCTTTGTAAAAAAGCAAGGGTTTCACGGATTGAGGGCGGCTCCTTTTCAAAATGTGGTTCTCGCCCTAGCGCCGCGCACATTCGCTTCAAACAGTTGCAAGAGTTTCACGGACTGAGGGCGGGTCGTTTTCAAAATGTTCCCGTCGCCTTAGCGCCGCGTGCATTCGTTTTAGATTTTGCAAGAGCTTCACGGATTGAGGGCGGGTCGTTTTCAAAATGTGGTTCTTGCCTAAGCGCCGCGCTCATCCGTCGTAAGAAAATAAAAAGGTTTTCACGGATTAAGGGTGGGCCGTTTTCAAAATGTGGTTCTCGCCCTAGCGCCGCGCACATAATTTGTAAACGTTTGCAAGAGCTCCACGGATTAAGGGCGGTTCCGTTTCAACATGTGGTTCTCGTCTTACCTCCGCGCACACTCATTTAAAAAAATGGAAAGAGTTTCACGGATTCCCAGGGAAGACGTACCAAACATTGTGTTTTGGAAGGATTCAGGATTGTGCGTGTGCAACAGGTATATTGATTCGCGGTGTTGAAATCAACAAATGGCGTTATGGCCCGATTCTGGATCGCCAAAGCGCAGCAGTCATATAAATCCCGAGAACAATTTTTTGACATGCTGCAGGATCTTCAAACGGGTGTTTTCCAACGAGGCAGTTCCCTCAATGGAAATGAACTGTTGTAGGGGCCCATGAAGAACTTACTTAGAGGGAGGGTTAATTCCAACATCCTTGATGGCTCGTGGGTTTACACTGGTCCTCCTCCTCCTCCTCCTCTTCCTCCCTGCCGCCCCCCACATCTACATTTTCCTCCTCCCTGCGGCCCCCTCCCCTCCACCGCGCGGGCGCGCTTGAGATGCGCCCCGTCTTGCTTCCCTCCAGTGGGCTCTCGCCGGAGTGGCCTCGAGGCAGAGGAGGAAAAGGTGCCGATACCGCTGCCATTCCGTCGTGTGTGCCTTTTTGGTCCGCTTGGGAGGCCCTCGTCGCCGCGGCTGGATTCGCTTCGAATCTCTGGTCAGAGCGCGCCCGGGGAGAGGTCCGGGGAGTGGCGGTGTTGGTACCCTGTTGTCTCCCCATGGACGCCGCTTTTCAGTAGACGCCAGAGAGTCTGTTCGCATGGGGGGGGTGCGGCGTAGCGAGGCCCGAGCGGGAGTGCGGACTTCACGCAGGGCGGGTCTCGCTTGCACGCCTTTTCGGCGCCCCCGCGCGGCACTCACGTAGGCAAGGCGGGGCTCGCCTCACGCAAGGCGCGCCCAGCGCTGCTTGGAACGGCGGCGGAGGAGGTGTGCGGGGGGGGGGGCGGAGCGAAATGGCACGCAGGTGAACTTGCCCGTGCCAGAATCCATTCAAAAGCACTTAGGCGCGGGCCCACTCCAGACCCCCTCGCCTCAAACAAAAAACAGCGTACCGTGTCTTGCGATGTTTGGCCTCTGGAGGCCTTTGTCGGCCCCCGGGACCGTCGAGCAACGACTCAGAACGAAGAGCCAGTCCCAGGGAGTGGGTCGGGATCTCGGGGGCGCCACCTGATAAAAATCATGACGTCGGGGGTCTGGGTTGCGTCGTGGGCGAAAAACATCTATCTATATGTGTGTGTGTGTGTGTTTCCGCTGCCTCGTGGGCCGGGCCCCCGGGCCGCGACCCCGCGGATGCGGGGCGTTTGCCGCGGGTGCCCCGCACGGAGCGCACTCGTGCGATTGCGCCTCCGCGGGGTCGCGGCCCAGGAGCCCGGGCCGCGAGGGTGCGGACACGGATCTTCGAGCGGATGGCATTGGGAGTTGACGGGCGATATATATATATATATATATATATATATGTATATATATATACATAGATATATAGATGTATACATGCATTTGTATATATACATATCTATATGTATACATCTATATATATATATATATATATATATAATATATATATATATATCTATATATATATATAGAGAGAGGGGGGAGGGCGGAAAGGGCCCTCGAGGGGCACTTTGGGGCCCCTTTTGGGCCCCTGCTGGCTCCCAAAGAAGGGGTGGAAGGGCCCATGGAGAATGCCTTCAACCCCGGATTTGGCCCACCCCCCATTACTGACCAGCCTCGAACTTATCCCTATCCCTAAGATATTGCCACGCCAAAAGGCGATGACAATCTTAGGGGTGCGCCCTCAAAAAATAAGGGAATCCCTAAGATTGGCATCGTGATGAGGAGGTGCCCAGCATAGGGATAGGGACATGTTCCAGGCTGGTAAATTACCGCCCGCCCGAGACGTGCTCGCCGCTCGTGGTGGCGCGCCTGGATCTGGCATCCACCCCCGCCCCAGCGGAAGCGGCGCCCGGAGCCCCAAGGGCGCTCTTGCCGAGGGGGTCCCTCTCCTTGGCATCGCTCGGACGTGTGGATTCTTCCTTCGGCGAACACCATCGAGGAGCATCCTTGATCATTTGGCGAAAAAACCACGCACGAAATCGAAAAAAGCACAGGGAATGGACGTCCGAGCGATGGCGAGTCTCGCGTGTGTCCGCTCCTGCTCGGGGGAGGGTGTGGGCAGCAGACGGCGAGGGGGCGACGGCCAGCGGGGGAGGAGGGGGGAGACCGGGAGGGGAGGAGGGCGGCAGATGGGCGGCAGGAACTGCGTCCTCTTATTCCCGAGGAGGAGGAGGAGGTGGAGGAGGAGGTGGAGGAGGAGGTGGAGGTGGAGGTGGAGGTGGAGGAGGAGGACCAGTGTAAACCAAGAGTCATCAACGATGTTGGAGTAAACCCTCCCTCCAAGGTCCCTCTTCATAGGCCCCTGCAAGGGTTCAATTCCACTGAGGGAACTGCCTCGTGGGAAGACAACCGTTTCAAAAAACCCAGAAACATGCCAAAACATTGTTCTCGGGATTCCAACGCCACGGATCAGCCTTACTGTTGCGTCTTAACGATCCTGAATCGTGTCAGAACGCCATTCTTGGGACTTCAACACCGCGAGTGAACGTAATTGCGGCACCCTCATAATCCGAGATATTTCCTAAACGTCATCTCTGGTACGTTGATCATGGGAACCCGTGAGACTTTTAGTTAGTAATTTGTTGAAGCGAATGTGCGCGGCGCTAAGGCGAGAACCCCATTTTGGAAAGGAACCGCCCTCAATCCGTGAAGGTCTTGAGGAAAACCGATTTGTGCGCGGCGCTAATGCGAGAGCCACATTTTGAAAACCACCCGCCCTCAATCCGCGAAACTCTTGCACGTGTTATAAACGAAAGCGCTCGGCGCTAATGCGAGAGCCACATTTTGAAAACCACCCGCCCTCAATCCTCGAAACTCTTGCACATGTCAAAAACGAATGCGCGCGGCGCTAATGCGAGAGCCACATTTTGAAAACCACCCGCCCTCCATCTGTGAAGCTGTTATCAATGGTTAAGCTTCAGGGTCAAAATGGTAAGGAAGTCTCAAGCGAAACGCCCGGCCCGCCCTAAAAAATGGCCTCGGGGTGCGACAGGGACACGTTCTTCATAAGGAGAAGGAAGGAAGGAGGCGAAGGAATGAAGGAGGAGAAGGAGGAGGAGCAGGGGGAGGAGGCGGCGGGGGCCCACGTGGGGCAAGCGGGGCAAGTGATCATGGAGGAAGAGGAGTCCTGAGGGCTACCCATCGGTCGTTGAAAGTAGGTATTTTTGGATTCCCAGATTCCAATCTACTTTGAGCGCCTTCCTACGTCAAGAGTCGAGTGGTTCGCCCTCTTCCCTCCTCTTCAGGAGGCGGGCGGAAACCCAATCTATTTCCAACGCCTCCCTACTTCATGTTTCTACCTACTTCTTCCGACCGATGGGTACGGGCCCCGGAGGCTCCTTCGGAGTCGTCGCGTCCTGGGCCCCCTCTCCCGGGGCCCGAGAAGGGGGGCGTCGGAGACCGCTCGGGGGTCCGGGGCCCGCTGCCCTCGGGCCCTGGGGCCCCCTCCCTTCCCTCTATCGCTATCGCTATCGCTATCGATAGCGATAGCGATCGATATCGATAGCGATAGCGATCGATAGCGATAGCGATCGATATCGATAGCGATAGCGATCGATAGCGATAGCCCTTCCCTCTCCCGCTCCTCCTGGCCGGCGGCCGCTGCAAGGGCGGATGGCCCAGGGCAGGGCACCCCATGGGAGCGACACAGATCGGGAGGGAGGAAAACACACAGACACAGTGATTCGTCGATTTCCAGGAGAATAGGGGAGAATCTGGGGAGTGGGGGGGAAGGCGAAAACCACAAAAAATTAGGAAAATGTAGGGAATCTTGTTATTTGTGTGTATTTTTGTGTGTGTCCCAGGGCCCCTTCAACAAAGAACTTTTGAAGAGGACAAGGTGCACATGCTGCTACCTCTCCGCCCTCTTCCCATTCGCTACCTTCGGAGGCCTCATGAGGCCCTCGTCGCCGCCGCCGGATTCGCTTCGAGCTTCTGTGTTCTGGTCAGAACGCAACCCGGGAGAGGTCTGGGGAGTAGCGGTATCGGAACTTGTTGGTTTCCCGGGGTGCGGGAGTTAACCTTGAATCAAGCAGTGGCGAAACGTCGTGGCTGACCTATAGGCCCAGCGAAGAATGTTCAAAAAACGTTTGTGGTCTGCACGAAATGTTCTTAGAGCATTTCTGGTAGAGTCTGTCTTGTTTGAACGCATCTAAGAACATTGTTTCTGTTATTCGAACATTCTGAGGGTCTAAGAAGATTTCGTGGTAGGCGCATAGGAATGCTTGGACGGTCGGTACCTGCCCACTTGAAACCCCTTGCGGAAAGCGTCCTGGGTGTGCCTCTCCCAGCCACGTTGGGGCTCTTGGGTGCCTCTTGGGGCAATGGTGTCGGATCATCTTGGCGGCCTTGGTGGCCATCATGGGCCGTCTTGGTAGCTTTGGGAAAGTCTTGGCAGGCCGCGGAGAGGCGTCGCGCGCCCAGGAACTCGGGACGGGCACCAGTGCACACAAGGAGGCGTGGGGGGGGGCCCTAAGAGCTTTACGGAACCCCTGCTACAGCATTGGACGTTCTATTACGCCTCAATGTGCCAATGAGCACTGCAGCCGATAAGTTCGAATAGAGTCGTGTGGAGAGGGCCAGAGGGCGTGTTGCGCCAAGGAGTCAGCGGCGTGTGGGATATTAGTCAGACTCGCGTTGCCGAAGGATTGCCACGCACCTGCGTTCCATGGAGCCTGGAGCATCCAGGAGCAGGATGAGGACAACGAGAACCGAGGAGGAATGACGATGGAGGGGGACAATGCCTAGGTTTCTGATACGCAGGACCAGGAGGAGACGGATGAGAATGAGCAGCATCATCATGAGCACGGGCAGGAGAAGTATTTTGACGATGAGGAAGGTGATGTTGGTAACGAAGAGGATGGTCGGGATGGGAAAGAGTAGCGAAGAGGATGACGTTCGGCGACGTTATCAGAACGCGAGGGCGACTGCGACGCCATCAGTCAAACGACGTACCTCGCCACAACGATGGTCGAGGACGAAGAGGACGCTCGACGACGACGCACCTCGGCGCAGGACATGTCGCTCGATGATGTCATCAAGAAGAAGGGCGGCCGTGGCGGCCGGAGCGGCGCCAAGAAGGGCGCCGGCGCGAAGGAGGCAAGCGCGGCTGCTGGACGTCCGCAGATGTCGATAAGACCACAATTCGGAAGTGCATTGGAGGCAAGTCAGGGGGGAACCAAAACACAAATACGCACATAATTGTCGATTCCCAGGAAAAGGTGGAAACTCTGGGATGTGGATCGGGAAGACGAGCATCCAGAAAATATTGCAACATGGAGCATCCTAGTATTGTGCCTATATGTATGTGTGTGTGTGTCCCTAGGCCTCTTTAGTGGGGGGGGGAGGGAGCGAAACGGGAGAGGGGGGCTTCTTTAGGCGGTCGTTTTTGGCCGCTTTACAAACATAGGAACCATCCAGATTCGTGGATGCCCGCTGCCTCGGTCGTTCGGTCGTCCGAGACCGCCGAAGCGGCCACCAAGATCGACCCAAGGCTGACCCAGCTGGCTTCACGGTAAAAGTATAATTGGTATCTCTCTATCTTTCCGTCTCTCTTCCTCTCCGTCACTCTCTCCCTCCCTTTCCCACTCCGTCTCTCTCTCTCTTGCCTTCTTTCTCGAATTTCGCTTGTGTGCGAGATGTGAGATGTCAAGATGCATGGCGCGAAGCCCTTTCGCAGCCTCGTGCACAACTAGTTACGCAGGTATGCCTAGATACACACAATGTACATATATCATGAGCGAGGGGGGAGAGAGAGAGAGAGAGAGAGCGGGATATATATATATATATATATATATATATATATATATATATTGAATCGCTTCGCTCATTCCGCCGGCCCATAGTGTAGCGTCGCTGGCACTTGCTTGCGTGCTCGGGGGGGCATTTGGGTGGCCTCCTGGGGCCGCTTGGGGGCCTCTTGGGGGCCTCCTGAGGGCCTGTTGGGGGCCTCTTGGGGCCTCTTAGGGGCCTCTTGGGGCCTCCTGGGGACTTCTGAGGGCCGAGGGCTCGAAATATTGTTTCGTGTTCCCCCCCTGGGGTCCCTCTTGGGGCGTTCTTGGGGCCCTCTTGGGCCGTCTTGGAGGCCTCTTGGGCCGTCTTGGAGCCCTCTTGGGCCGTCTTGGGGCCCTCTTGGGGGCCTCTTGGGCCCTCTTGGGGCGGTCTTGGGGGCCTCTTGGGCCGTCTTGGGGTGTCGTGAAGCCGAAAAGGTGGAAACGCCAAAATCTCTCCAAAACCTAAGGAAAAGAAATGAATTTTGCCTCTTGGGGCCCTCTCGGGAGTGCTCTTGGAGGCCTCTTGGGGCGTCTGGGGGCCATCGTGGGCGTCTTGGAGCGATCTTGTGGCATCTCGGACCCCTCATGTAGCATCTTGGGGGCCTCTTGGAAGCCTCTTGGCCCTTCTTGGGGCTCTCGGGGACGTCTCGGAGCCGCGTTGGTGCGCTGCTGGAGCGCCCTGGTGACTCCTCCCGGGACTCTCTCGGGACCTTGCCGGGCTACTTTCCGCCCGGGGGCCCCCAGGGGCCGCCCCGCGCGCGCGAAGTAGAAAGATTGTAAAGCAGTCACCGGAGATCTTAGCACGCTTCTGGCCCGTTGGGCCAGCGAATATATATATATATATATATATATATATATATATATATGTATAAACAGAGAGAGAGAGAGAGGGTCATGTAAAGAGAGAGAGAGAGAGAGAGATAATGGCAATAAAGCGAGAGAGGGAGAGAGAGAGAGAGAGAACGTCATCTAGCAAGAGAGAGAGAGAGAGAGCGAGAAATCAAACACAAGAGAGCGATAGCGAGAGAGGATGAGAGAGAGAGAGATACAGAGGGAGGCGAGCGAGAGACGGAGAGAGGGAGAGAGAGCGAGAGACCAGAACGAGAGAGAGAGAGAGAGAATAGAAAGAGAGAGAGAGAGGGAGCTAGCGAGAGAGGGAGAGACAGAGACAGAAAGAGAAAGAGTGAGAGATCGAGAGACAGCGAGAGACAGAGAGAGAGAGAGAGAGCGAGAGACAGAGTGAGAGAGGGAAACAAACAAAAAACGAAAGGGTCGGTGGCGCTCGCTTCCAGGCGCAGTAGCCGCCCGGCCCGCCCCCCCGCCGGGAGTGCGGGTCCCTGGCAGGCCGCCGCGCCCGCTCCGGAGAAGAAGATGGAGAGGCGGGGCCGCGCGCGCGCGGGCCCCCCGTCTTGGCGCCGCGGGGGCGGACGGACGGAGGAGCTGGCGGCTAGCATCGGCTGGCGCCGGCTGGCGTCGGTCGGCGTCGGTTGGCGGTTGGCGGTTGGCGGCTGGCGTCGGCTAGCGGCTGGCGTCGGCAAGCGTCGGTTGCCAGTTGGCGGTTGGCGTCGATTGGCGGTCGGTGTCGGTTGGCGTCGGTTGGCGGTTGGCGTCAGTCAGCGTCGGTTGGCTTCGGCCAGTGGCGACTCGCAAGGGCTAGCAAGACGCCATGGGAGGCCCCCATGATTTGCCGCAGATGGGTTGCTGAAGGTGTGCCCAGCCCACTCGGGGTCGTCCACGTGGGGAGTGAGGACTGGGGGTGTGCGTGTGCTTCCATGATCCGAAAGGGCGTCTCGCCAAGGGGGGGGTCACACATGGTTCCAAAGGACCAGCAAGAAGTTGCACGGGGGGGGCGGTGCGCCCCAGACCGCCCGCGTGCCTGCAGCAGGCTCGCTGGAGACTTCCCCACGTGAGCGACGCGAGAAGAGCGGGTCCTCTTCGCCGACATCGGCGCGTAAGTTGGTTGCGTAAGGTCGCGCGCAAACGCCTTAGTCTCAAAGGGAGCGTGCGGCGCTGGCGGCCCGCGCAAGTCGCCGCGCAAGGTCGCTACGCCATCTCGCGCAGGACCCGGTTTCGATAGTCGTCCACGTTCTTCCGAAATCGTGCTCTCGCCTCAATACCGGTTGCATGTTTGGTCCGGGCGGCCACGTTCCCTTGTAAGGAAACACTGCGGTGCACATGGCCGTGCTCTTGCCCTTGTCCCGCCTGTCGGTGTTCCTAGGTATCCCTAGGAATACCTCGGAATGCAGGAGGAGGAGGAGGAGGAGGACAAGTACGGGAAGGACGAGGAGGAGGGGAAGAAGAGGAGGAGGAGGAGGAGGAGGACGCGTTGTCACTAGCCGTCCTCCTCTCATCGAACCGCGCTGGGGTAGCTTGCCCCTCCGTCAGGGGGAGGGAGAGGAGCCGCTGCCGCTATGCCCGTCTGTCGTCGCCAAAGGCTGGGTGCGCCTCGAGCTCTTGGCCAGGAGGCTCTCTGGGAGCGCCCTGGGGAGGAGGAGGAGCTGCCGCTGCCCGTCTGCCGTCGCCACGGCTGGGTGCGCCTCTTTAGCTCCCGGTCGGAACGCCTCCTGGGAAGCGGCCAGTGGAGGAGCTGCCGCCGCCCTTCTGTCGTCGCCGCGGCGGGGTGCGGCCTCGAGCTCCTGGTCGGAACGCCTCCCGGGAAGCGGCCCGTGGAGGAGCGGCATCGGCACCCCGCTGCCCTCCCACCTCCGGCAGTGCGCAGCGCGATGTCTCGCCGCGCCTCCCGCGGGAGGCGCAGGGGCGCGAACCTCGCCGTGAGGCAAAGGGGTCCAGAGGTTCTTCTCGAAGGAGGAGGAGGAGGAGGAGGAGGAGGAGAGGAGGAGGAAGGAGGAGGAGGAGGAGGAGAGGAGGAGGAAGAGGAGAAGGGGGAGGAGGAGGAGGAGGAGGAGGAGGAGAGGAGGAAGAGGAAGAGGTAGAGCTTCGGGCTCCCATCCTGTGGTTGCGAGGATCTCCCCTGAGATCCTGCCGATGGCTACCTTGATTCTCAGATCCAGAGGCCCGGATCTGATCCGGAGGTGTCCCGAAGCTCGGAGTGGATGCGAGCCTCGTTTTCAGATCCGAAGGCTCAGCTCTGCTCCGAGCGGACGGCCCTGCAGGGCCTTTGCGCCGTCAGGCAACGACTCGGGATGAAGAGCTGGTCCCAGAGGAAGGCCAGGGCCCAGGGCTCGCTTCCCGCCAGACCCCGTTCCTCCGTGCCGAGGATTGCCCCCCGCATTGGTGGCGAGGGCGCTCGAGCGGGAGCAACAGCAGCCGCCGACCGAGGTTGAGCGATCCACGCGGTGCAGCAACGCAGGAGGATGACACATGTTGTGCCGATGCTTCTGCGTTATGGTGTCGAGGTTGCGAACATATGGCCAGACAGGCAATTCTTCATCCAATGAGGACCAGATATGGTCAGCTACGGAAGTCACCACACGTCCCCTCGCCAGTACCGACCGCTGGCTCCAGAGTTGGAATGGCAGTGATGGGGGAGGACGGCGAGGGGGCTACGTAATATCAGGCTCTGCGTGGAGGGGGCCCAGCGTAGGTCTGGCTGTGAAGCGGCTTGCGGTTATGATCGCGTATTCACCGGGTGGTGCCAGAAGTTTCGCATATAGCGTAGGAGTGACAATTGATGCTGTGCAGCTTCGTGACCCAAGTGTTGGCCCTTGAATGGGGCGTACAGCAGTACTGAAGCCAATGCAACACTTAAGACGGGAGGTCACGTGTAAGTTCGAACATCTTGCACGATCGAGACAGAAAGACAAGGGGGGAGGATCAAGAACTGAAGTGTTTGTGAGGATGGTGATGCGGGGATGATGGCGAGGTAGAGGGTTGGTGCGGGGTGGGGGAGAGAGGGAATAGGAGTTAGCTATGGCTGCACCTTCGTGGATCTTGTGAGGCTGTGAGGAGGGGGGAAGCTTGGGAGGAGTGAGGGAGGAAGGGGGCTGCTGATAGCGATGATGCTGATGATGAGAATAATGAGGATGGCGGTAACAATGCTGATGATAATGGCGATGACGATGCTGATGATGATGCTGGTGATAGTCATAGTGATGATGATGATGATGATGATGATGATGATGCTGATGATGATGATGATGATGATGATGATAATGATGATGATGATGATGGTGGTGATGATGATGATGTTGATGATGATGATGATGATGATGATGATGATGATGATGATGATGATGGCGATGGCGATGGCGATGGCGATGCTGATGATGATGAGGATAATAATGATGCTGATGCTGATGATAGTGATATTGAGGATTAATATGATGATGCTGGCGACGACGACGATGATGATGGTGATGATGATGCTGATGATGATGATGCTGATTGTGGTGATGATGCTGATGATGATGATGATGATGATGCTTATACAGGCTTACGCCACATCCGCCGACCCCGTGATCTAGTCGGGGACCTTCTATTGCTGTCCTGGGGCCTTGTGTCGGTGCTCGGGGCCGCAGGGGCGGACAGGAGGAGGAAGGGCATGTGGAGGTGGAGGAGGATAAGGAGGAGGGGGTGGAAGAGAAGGAGGAGGAGGAGGAGGAGGAGGAGGAGGAGGAGGAAAAGGAAAAGGTGGAGGAGGAAAACTGAGAACACTGAAAACTGAAAACTGAGGAAAGCCTCCGGAGGCCGTTCGGAACAATCCTGGCACCCCCAGAACGCATGGTATCACCTTGGATTTGGAGGCAGTGTGCGGGTACCCGGACCGCGAACGGGGTTGTGGGTTTGAGGCCACTCGGATGGCTTATGGGGTCTCGTGAGAGGGCTCTTGGGGGCGTGTTAGCCAGTTTTTAAGCATCTGAGGGATCTCCCGGGGAGGTCTTGTGGGCCGTTGGGGGGATCTCTTGGGATTCCCAGGGGGCCCCTTGGGGCTTCTTAGGCGTTTCTTGGGACAACCTAGGGGTTTCTTGGGGCCGACGGGTCGAAATTTCTGGTCGGGTTCCGCTTCTGGGCCCTTTCTGGGAGCCTTCTTCGGCCGGCTTGGGGGTTTCTTTGGTCATCGTCTTGGGGCTATCTTGGGCCGTCCTCCGTAGCCATTTTGGCTCACGATGTCCTATTCAGGGGGCCGCTGCCCCTGGGGACGAAGGGATACCGCTAATCCGCGGCAGTCAGAGCGAGTTCTCGCTTGGAAGCGCGGCGGCGGACCGAGATGGCTCCTCTTGCCTTCCGCCCCGCCGCTGGGTGCTGCTTCAGCGGCCAACATGGAAGGTTTCGTCGTGCATGTTGCTGGCAGTGAAGCCTCGAGCCAGAAGGCAGGGGGGCCTCCCGTCCCGTCGCTGGGCGTCGGGGCCAAGCCGCCAGAGGTCTCTGGCGGCGCGGTCTGTAGCCTGGCGGCTAATTCGGGAGGTTACGTCGCCAGCTTTCTTGCGGAGCTGCAGCTGGTGGAGGATGGGGGCGCGGCCAACGGCAGCGCGCCATCTCGGGCCGAGGAGACGGGCGTCGGGACAGCAGCGAGCCCGAGCGGAGCGCAGGCCGGCGCGGAGCAGGATTTACCTGCTAGTTAGGCAGAGGAAGCCCAGCGCGGAGGAGTCGGGCGTCGAGCTTACGGCGAGCCAGAGCGGAGTGCGGATCAACGCGGAGATGGACTCACCTGCGAAGCAGGGAATGCCCAGCGGAGCCGTGCAGAGCGGCGAGGTGCCGCCGTCGAGAACGAGCCGAAGGCGGAGGCCAGCGGCGAGTTCGGAGTGCTGAAGGGGCGCTGCCGTTTGCAGCGCAGATCTGCCCCAGCCTGGGGCGTGGCTGTCCGCTGGAGCCGAGCCGCAAAAAATCATGGGCCGTCCTGGAGCCCCCGGGGCTTCCTGGCCCGTCTAGGACGTTGTGAAAGCCTCGGAGGCGAATCTGGTAAACATTTATGTTCTCCCGGAGGGAATGGGGCGATTTTGGCTTCTGACGGTCCTCAGGGGGAGGTTGTTCGAGGCCTCTTGGGGCATCTTGGAAGCATCTTGAGCCGCGTGGAGGCCATCTTGGGTGGCTTGGAGCGATATTTCGGCGAGTAGGGGCCATCTTGGAACGTCTGGGGGGCCTCTTCGAAGGCCTCGGGCTGTCTTGGCGCTCCAACGGGGACCCGGGGAGGGCCAGGCCCCCCCAGGTGAGTTCGGTCCGGGCCCCGGGTGAGTTCGGTCCGGGGCCACCCGGTGCCAGGGGGGGCATCAATTTGCTGGGTTGAAGTTCCCAGGGGGGGATGACGGGGGGAACAATCTCATTCGCCTAGAGACCCACAAGGGGTCGGCGGATCATCAGTACAATGATCATAATGTTGTTTATGTCGACGATGTTGATGAGGATGACGACGATGATGATGCTGAGCATGCTTCTGCTGATGTCGGCGATGACGATGGCAATGGTCATAGTGAAGATTATTGTGGTGATGGTGATTGTAATGTTGGTGGTGCTGATGCGGATGTCGATGCTGATGATGATGATGGTGATGATGATGATGATGATGATGATGCTGACGGTGCTGCTGTTGATTTGGACGTTGATGATGATGATGATGATGATGATGATGATGATGATGACGACGACGTTTCTGCTGATGGCTATGATTATGATTATGTCGCTGATGCTGATGCTGATCCCGCTGCTGATGGCCATGGTAACGATCATGAGGATGAGGACGATGATGGCCATGGTGTTATGGATGATGATTCGGTTGATGGGTGTGTCTCTGCTGTTGATGATGATAATGGTGTTGTTGATGATGCTGGTCATTATCATGATGACGGTGGTGGTGGTGATGATGAAGATTGTGATGATGTGTGATGACGGTGATGATGATAACGATGAAGATGATGATGTTGCTGATGATGATCATTATTGTGATGTTGCTGATAGTGTTGTTGCCGATGTTTGTACGGATGGTGATGTTGGTGATGATGACGCTTTGCATGACGCTGGTGGTGGTCATGTTGTTGCTGATGATGAGTATGATGATCAGCACCATGACTCTGACGATGCTGCTGGTGATGCTGATGATGCTGTTGCTCATGGTGATGTTGTTGAAAATGATGGTGATGATGGCACTGATTATGCTGATGATGATGTTGGTGGTGGTGGAGATGATGACGGTGATGAAGACGATGATGGTGATGATGATGATGATGGTGGTGGTGGTGATGATGATGATGATATGAAGGAGGAAATGGCGACGATGATGACGGTGGTAATCACCAGCAGGAGGGAGGAGGGCGTGAGGGCCGGAGGAGGCGGACAGGGACGACGGGATGGCGGACGGTGTTGGCGGAGGAGGGGCCGCCCTGGCGGCTGCAGGCGCAGCGGCCTCAGCGCCGCCGCCAAGTCCGCGCTCGGCGCCGCCGCCAAGTACAAGGCTCCGGGCAAGCCCAGCGACGGCACATCGTCGACGATCCGACAACTCAGAGGAGGACACGGTATGGTGGGTTCATGCGGCGATGGTGCGCCAGCGACGCCGGCAAAGGCGTTCAAAAAGGAATGTCGCATGATAGAACGGCGCGAAAGCACTGAGGGACACGGTATCAGGACGGGACCCGACGGATTTCAACCTTGAACGATCGTGGCCGCGATTGGTTCAAGGTTGAATGATGGATACGGTGTCACAACACTTTGCGCGCGCCGACGCCGCACGAACCTACCGTGCCCATATTGGTTCCATTCGCCAGTTCCCCCCTTTTATCGGCATCCTCGGAGGCCCTCGTCGCCACGGCTGGATTCGCCTCGAATGTCTGGTTAGAGCGCACCACGGGAGCTTCTGAGAGTAGATGCAAGAGTTAATTTTCGCTAGAGGCACCTTTGGTGCGGGCCCAATGGGGTCCTGCCCGACCGCGGAACGCGACGCGGTAGCAGCGGCTAGCGCGCGCCTTCGTTCGGCCACCCCGCGTCCCCCAGGTATTGCGCGCACAAGAGGACTTTCCTGCCTAGGACCACTCTTGCGTGTGGCCGAACATCTTCGACGATCCGACGAGGCCGTCGACGACACGACGGCACGCCGTCGACCGACGGCACGGCGGTGACGTCGACGGCAGCACGACCCAACACGTCGGCGACGACGACGACGACCACGACGACCACGACGACGACACGACGAGGGCGGCGGCCAGGCGGCGGGCAAGTCCAAGGGCCTCCTTGGCACCCTGAGCGCTGCCTTCAAGGGGCTGGGGCGCGCTTCCCCGCGCGCCGTCGCCGCGCGCGCGCGCTGCGCCATGCCCGTCGTCGTTGTCGGCGCCGGTGTCTTAGTCGTCGTGGTCGTCGTCGCCGCCGAGGCCGCCGTCGCGGTCGCCGCCGTCTTTATCTTCGTTGCCTCGACGGCGTCGTGTCGCCGTCGGCAACGACGTCGTCGCCGTGTCGTCTGGACGGGGGGCCCGGAAGTCGCAGCTGGCTTTAAGGGCCGAGCGGGGGGCCCAGTCGGGGCTCTCTGGTCCCACCCTGAGAGGTCCTCATCCAAACAGACTTCTACTATCTTCGGGTATGGCCAGGACCCCTGGTAAGGGGACCCGGTTAGTGGTGGGGCCCCGGAGCCCTCGAATTGGCCAGAATCACTAAACCAGGTCTGCCATAGCTGGTGTTTTTTTCGGGTGACGGCAGGTCCGGTTGGTGGAAATGGGACGGGGGGGATCGAGGCCCGGGCGGACTGACTTTGGGCGAATCGAGGCCCGGGCGGATCGGGCCGGGCGATCCGAGCCCCGGGCGGATCGAGCCGGGCGCGCATCGAGACTCGGGCGAATCGGGCCTTCGCCGCCCGGAGCGGGCCCCCAGCGGCCGGAATCGGGCCAAAGTTTCCCGTAGTGTGTTGTTGTTGGATTCCATTCGAGCAGTGGCGAGGCGTTCTGGCTGTCATCTGATAGGGCCACCGGGGACTGTTCTAAGAACCGTTCGTGGGTGCACGAAATGTTACTAGGACAGTTCGGGCCGCGGCCGGCCGTCCTGGTTCAATGGATCGGCTTTTTTGCTATTCGAATATATTCTTGCGTTCTGAGAACATTTCGTCGGTCCCCGCACAATTCAGCGGCACCGTAGCGGGTACTCACTACCGGGTATTTTGGACAATTGCCAAAAGATGCCACTTTAGTTAGGGCCTCCTTCTGGCATTGCAGCTCTGCCCACATCGGGAAGGACTGATACTTCGCTGGGTCATTGGCCAAACTTCCCGATAGGGTATTTTTCGGCCTCGAGGGGCCCTCGCCGGGCCCCGGGACCGTCAAGAAACGACTCATGCAGGGGGAAAAGCCGGTCCTATAGGGAATGGGTCGAGACTTCCGGGGGCCCCGTGTGGAAAAACCACGACGTCGGATCGCTGGGGGTCCAATACGTATAGTGGCAAAAATCAAGGCGGAGGTTTTTGTTCACAGTTCTCGGCATGATTGGCCCTGGGGCCGTCAGCAGAAGCGCTTCAGGATGGAAGGCCGATCCTGGGCAGTGGGTCGAGACTTCTGTGCACCTCCGCAGGGAACACTTCACGACGTCTGATCTCCTGGATTTAGAGCCCCACCAAAGAATGCTCTGAGATCCTTTCTGCGGTTTGCACGACATGTTCTTAATTAGAACATTATTGGTTGAGACCTGATCCGTTTTAACACATCGGGTTATAAGAGCATTGTCTGGGGGTTTAGAAAAAACATGGCGTGGCAGGCCTGCAGGAATGCTTGGACGGTCGGGCCCTGCTCAAGTAATTACGGTTTTCTAGATGCCCCGCTCTTCATCGTCCCTCCGGCCCTCCAACCCTCCCTCCCTGCCCCTCCTTTCCCCCCCCCTCCCTCTTCCCCGCTCCCTCCAACCCCTCAGTCCCCAGACCCCCTCGAGACATGAAAAAAACACGACGGGAGTTTTTCGCTATTGCGAAGGCCTTGCGGCCAGTGCCGCCGACCCTGAGGTTGGGAAGGAGGGTGCGGAGAATGGGGAGGAAGATGAAGAAGGGGACAGGAGGAAGAGGCGGATGAGGAGGAGTAGGGACACAGGGGGGGAACGAATAGGAGGAGAGTGAGGCGAGCAGGGTCGCGGGGGGGGGGGGGGCACGAAGGAAGGGCAGGGGCGAGTAGAGCGTGGCGATCATGAGGAGGAGGAGGAGGAGGAGGAGGAGGAGGAGGAGGAGGAGGGAGGAGGAGGAGGAGGGAGATAATGGCGAGGATGTTGACGATGCTGACGACGACGCTGGTTGCCTATCAGGACCATGGGGCGTCGTGGAGCCCTCCTGGGGAGGCGACTTCCAGGCTTCGTTGTTTCGGAGCTAGGTTCGGCATCTTGGGCATCTGGGAGGCCACGGAGGTGTCGCTAGATTTGGAGGTCACTAGGGCCAAGACCTGGGCCAGGGCCGGGGCCAGAGCGGGCCGGGAGTCAGGGCTGGGGCTGGGGCCGGGGCCGGGGCCGCCGGCCTCGGCCCTGGCCGTCCCCGGCCCGGCCTTGACCCCGGCCCTGGCCCCAGTCCTATAGGGCCAGGGCCAGGGCGGGGCCGTGGCCGGGATTGGGTCCGGAGCCAGGGCCGGCGGGGCGGGAGCCAGGGCCGGCGGGATTGGGGCCAGGGCGGGGATGTGGGGGCACATTACCCTATGGGACCCCCCCCCCCGGGGACCACCCCCGGGGACCCCCCCCCCCAGGACCCGCCCCTTGGGACCCCCCCCCGCCCCGGGAAGGGAGCCAAGAAAAGGGCTTCGCCTTCACCTCCATGTGAGCGATGTTATGTGGCGTATTGGCTGGAGTGGATCGCTTCGCCGTAACCTCCATGTCAACGATGTTATGTGGCGTAGTGGCTGGAGTGGATTGCTGCAGGAGGGATGGCGGCGACCACGCGGGCGAAAGCGTCTCACACACGCCGACAGGGTCGGCGGATTTTCACGACGGGATTTTTTCGCTATTTTCAGCAACTGTGATCCCTTACCGGGCTTCGGGACGGTCAAATACGATTCAGGATGAGAAACCAGTCCCGGGGAAGGGGGCGATTTTTCTGGGGGTCGACGGCACGAACAAATTATGATGTCGGGGGTCTGAATCCCCGTTCTAGTCCGCAGCCTTGGCACACATCTAACTCAGTCCACCGGGGCTGGGCGCATCGAGGCCGATGATGGTCCCCTGGTGGAAGGCGTCGAAGCCTCCACGAGAATGCGGGAGAAAATGCCCCTGGCCCAGCCCCCCCCCCTCCCTCCTCAGACCTCCGACGTCATGATTTTATCATGGCGTCGACCCCATCTAGTCTCGACCCCTCTCGCCGGGACCAGAAAACAACGAAAAACTCCCCGTCTTTACTTTTCCATGCCTCGAGGTCTGTGTTTCCCCGCTCCCCCCCTCCCTCCCCGCCCACATCATCCTCATGGTTATCCTCACCATCATCGCAATCTTGAACAGGCTGGTCATTGCCACCATCATCATGACTACCATTCCCATCGCCATCACCATCACCATCACCATCACCATCACCACCGTCATCATCATCATCATCATCATCATCATCATCATCATCATCATCATCATCATCATCATCATCATCATAATCATAATCATAATCATAATCATAATGATAATGATAATGATAATGATAATGATAATCATAATCATCATCATCATCATCATCATCATCATCATCATCATCATGATCATCATCATTCTCATCATCATCATCATCATCATCATCATCATCATCATCATCATCATCATCCTCGCCACCACCATCGTCACCCCCATTTCCACCATCATCACCATCATCATCGTCATCGTCATCATCATCACCATCATCATCATCATCATCATCATCATCATCATCATCATCATCATCATCATCATCATCATCATTCATCATCATCATCATCATCATCATCATCATCATCATCATCATCATCATCACCTCTGGCCGCAGGGCGCCTGGTGCCTGTCGACGAGCGCCCGCGGGCGCGCCGCAGGCCCCGCCATGGCGCCCAGGGGCGCCCCGATGGCCCTGCGCCCCGCCCCGCCCTCGGAGCGGACCGGCCCAAGCACCGGCGGTCCAGAAAATACATCGCAGCGGCGGGTTTTGGACCATTTTTTGCTTCCATGGGGCTTCAAATAAATAAGAACGACTCGGGATGAGACGCCGGTCCCAGGGAAGGGGTCGAGACCTCTGGGGGTCCGCGTCGTGACGGAAAGCACGACGGCGCGGGGTTTCCTGGGGCGGTGGCAGCGACGACCGGCGGCGGCGGTGAGGAGGGAGTTTGCCCGGTGCTGCTAGGCCTCCTAGATCTTGGCATCGCTCGGACGTGTGCATTTTTTCTCGGCGAGGACCATCGAGGAGCATCCTTGATCATTTGGCGGAAGAACCACGCACGAAACCGAAAAAAACACAGGGAATAGACGTCCGAGCGATGGCCAGAGATGGGGTCCGAGTAGATGGGGTCGGAGGATCGCGCCGCAGAGCGGATGCATCGGCGATGCGGCTCGATGTGGAGCCGATGTTCTCCACGCTGGCGCCGCCGATCCATCGCCGACGCATCACCGACGCATCACCGATGCATCGCCGATGCATCGGCGATGCATTGGCGATGCAGCGCGATCCTTCGGCCCCATCTGCTCGGACCCCATCTACTAGGAGGCCTCTAGGGTCTGTGGCGGCAGCAGCGACGAGCTGCGGCGGCGGTCGGGAGGGAGCTTACCCGGTGCTACAGCCGGGAGACCAGGGCACCTTCGCGTGGGGTCATCAGCATCGTGAAAGTCTTTGGAAAAGTGTTCTGTCTGCAGTATCCTTTCCAGGAGGGGAGTTATCAAAACACAGACACCAATAATCAATCGCCGATTCCCCAGACAATATGGAAAAATATGGGACGCGGAGCGGAAAACAAACATCCAGAACATATGAGCGACTCAAAAAAGCGGGGTCGTTTGCGCTGACATTGGCGCGTGAGCTGCCCGCGCAAGGTCGCGCGTAAGCGCCCTCGCTTCAAATGTGGCGTGTCGCGCGGGCGGCCCGCGTAAGGTCGCAATGTGATCTCGCGTGAGACTTTTTTACGGTCGTCTTTCGTACGGAACAGGTAAGGAATCCTAGATTTAGATTTATTCGTGGGAAGTGAAGGGGGAGACGAACATCCAGAACAGTTCGGAAGCCTGGATCTTTGTTCGAGGCCTCCTAGATTGGGTCCGAGTCGATGAGGTCGGATGATGGCACCGCATCACAGATGCATCCGCGACGTCGGCGATGCATCG